CTCTTTGGTTTTGAGACTTTAGTCTTTGCAACTTCAGGGATCTTATCTATGCACAATCAGCTTGTAACACTCCAAAAAGAAAGGAAAACTTGAAATCGCATCATATGACCCCTTTAACACCAAATATCACAAAAAAAACAATTCATTTTTAATAAGTTTATAATAGGCAAAATCAATTTTGATTCTTCCACCTACTAACTTTCTAAACATCATATCCACATCAATACTGAAAGGGAACGTCTAGGTTACTTGTGTAACCCTCGTTCCCTGAAGGAGGGAACGGAGACGTTACGTTCCGTCGCCACAGTTGCTGTACCACCGCTGTACGGCCGGGGCACATAGTCTCGGCTCCTCAAAGAAAAACTGATGTGCGTTTGCACGCGCTCTCCTTTTAGACCCGTGCTGCGGGGCGGGGTGCGCGTGGCGAAACACGCACGCCAACAGATTGAGTCATCGGATATGTAAATATAATTGCGCAGGAAAAAATACTTACACATTTACATACCTCGGGTCTCTAACGACCCTATACAGTTTTTACAAAAACATTAATCAGAAAACTGGCATTCTTTTATAATTTACTATTTTTTTCTTGTTATATTGTTTATAATTAATAGATTGAGGAATACTAAGAAATCTGATGTCTAACTTAAAAAAAAATGAAGGAGGGAGAGGGTAGGGAATGATGTCCCGGGTCGCTAAAGACCCGAGGTATGCATTTAAGGGTTAAAATATATTTTAAATACAAATATAGTAGCCTACATATAGTACAAAAATATATTTGACATACAAATCTTCAAATATATATAAAAAAACTTTATTCATATTGTTGGACTATATCTAGTATTTAGTATTGTGCAAGGAAATGCTGTCTGTCTCACAATAAAGAAGATTTATACTAAAGCTTTGTGTGCTGTTTGGTTTTACTGAAGATCTACATTCTGACTCGATGCTGGTTGGTTATTGAAAGAAAGCAAGTATCTGTTGTTTTCCTGGTGATGGCTTAAAGATGCCTAGCATTTGGGTTTATTATTAACTGTAATAAGCATTGATTGGCTCACTATTAGCCTGACCTCACTGTTTAATCAAGGTCAAGCTTTCAAAGTTGATGAACACTGCTTTGACGTGTAAGGATCAACACTGCTTTGATGTGACAGGATCAACATGCCTGTTAGATCCTGTACCCACTAGTTTACTATTGTCATTTTGCATTATTGACACTATTTTCCTAATTAATGCTGTTCAGTTGCTTTGACACAATCTGTATTGTTAAAAGCGCTATATAAATAAAGGTGACTTGACTTGACTTAAGCATATGCTTAAAAAAAACGAACAATTTTAAAGGAAGAAAGAGCTTTACTTTCTCCTTCTCCGGTTATGCTGTATAAAATTACTGTATCACCCCTCTTAATGCAAGACTTTTTTTGATACATGAGGTTATTCTGTACAATGACATTATTATTATTATCAGTATTGTTATAATTATAATTATTATTATTGTTGTTGTTGTTCTATGTGTTGTTTAAATAAGCATTGTATCTGACTTTTATCAATAAAACTTTTATTTTGAAATAAAAAAAGCGTATACTGTTTCCGTTTTTTAGCTTGACTTCCTGCTTGCTTGTTTTGGACTTCGCAGAGTTAGCTACGTTATCTAACAATATAGTGTATTGATCGTAGTGTGTCAGTTGTGTTATAATTTTATCGTTGAGGAGGTAATAATGTCAGGAGGAACTCGACTAGAAAACGCCAATCCTCTGATATTTCAGCGATCGGGGGAAAGACTCCTGACTGCCACTGATGAAGATGAGGATCTAGCGGATCCCATCGATGACAGGGAGATCTTCGATATCCTTTCAAAGCACGAAACTAACTACTTTGACATGTCAGCCTTGTTGCTGTAAATTATTTGCGATAATGACAGTTGTACTTACAATTACAAACTGCGTTAACTCAGTCAGAAGCCTCATTTACGTTCATGCTTTTTGAATGGTTTGAGTCGGACCTTAACATCTTTACATCTGATCAGATCGATCAGTGACCCTGAGCACCCACTGTCCCTCGAAGAGCTCAATGTCGTGGAACAAATGCGCGTCAATGTGAGTCTGAGCTGTCTGTTGTTCTATCTTTCTAACATGTTTTTGAGTAGGTGAATGATGAGGAGAGCACTGTGTCTGTGGAGTTCACACCGACCATCCCACACTGCAGTATGGCCACACTCATTGGCCTGTCCATCAAAGTCAAGCTTCTGCGCTCCCTTCCTGACAGATTTAAGGTCCTTTTAGTGAGCAGCCAAACACATTTAAGCTTACATTAGGCTTTGGGATTCCCATCTAAGTCATTTGTTATTTTCTTTTTGTTGTTAGATTGATGTTCACATCACGCCTGGCACACATGCCTCAGAGGATGCAGGTAAATGCCCGATATACAATGCAAAACAAGTTTAAAGGGATACACTTCACCCAAAAATGAAAATTCTGTACGAGTTTGTTTCCTCTGCTGAATACATAATAATTTTGAAGAATTTGGGTAAACAACAGTTGAATGGGCCTTGTTGACTTCCACAGTATAGAAAAAAATACTATGGAGGTCAGTGGAGACCATTAACAGTAAATAAGTTGAGTAAATGATGACAGAATTTTTCATTTTTGGCTAAACTATCCCTTTAACCCTGTAAAGTCAAAGACATGTGAAATAGAATGAAAATGGAACAGTTTATGGCACCTTTAGACACAATCTAAAAAAAAAAAAAAATGTGCAAATGTGTTTTATGTTTTGTATCATATATGATACATCAGGCTTTTATGGCCTAGTTTATAGTCATATAGTGATAATATAGAGCTCACATACTTGAGGAAGAAAAACATGTCTATTTAATTTAAAGGCCCAAACTGAGAAAAAAAAATGCAATTTGGTGCATATGTTGTTATTTAAATGGCCATAATGTAAGATCGGTTTCTAAAAGCTCTTATTATAAATCAACGAGATCTTTATAAAATTGAGTATTGTGTGCATATGAATATCAGTTATCACTCTATATACACTCAATATATATGTCTCAATATATATGTTACATTTCAAACATTTTTGGGGGGCAAAACATAATGAAATGCAATTCAGAAGCCTCAAAAGTGTTTTATTTTATACATATTTTTTTTTAAATGATTTTTCTAACAAATGATGTGTGGATAATCAAGCAAATCTAAGTTGCTTCCATCCAGTAGGCTAAATGTTCATCTTAAAATGAACACTATAAAAATTATTCTTATGTTTACTTTATAAAAATCAGTATATTTCACAGAAAAAATACCCGTTTCACGACCTAAAGGTGTATGGTTGTAGAAATACACTTAGGGGTCCTGTTACTTACTAATAAAAGTATAAATTATCAATCAGATGACAAAACTGAGTGCAACTGGTTTGCCAGCAACAAGTTTTGATCACGTTAGAGGCCTTAGAAATTCATGTGTAAAACATTATACAGTTGGCTTTATATAGTTAAGGTCAAGAATATTTTTCTATTACACAGCACCCTGTTTTTATTTTAAAATAAGAATCCACTTGTGTTTTTCTCCTCCAGTCAATAAGCAGCTTGCAGACAAAGAGAGAGTGGCAGCAGCTCTGGAGAACTCTCAGCTGCTGGAGGTGGTCAACCAGTGTCTGTCCACCAGAACCATGTGATCCCAAGAATCCCGCCGCTGTCATGTAGTCCTTTGACAGATCAGGACTGAACTCCTACAGGCTAGCCAGAGTTGAGTGATAATTACAGCGTTAATATGTTTTGTATAATCTTTTATATATCTAGTGCTGTACTCGACAAACAGCACCAGATCAGGAGGACTGCTTAGTGCTTATAAAGTAAGAGATGCATCCAAATTGAGTTTAAAAATGTGTCAGGAAAAGAAACAGTGGTAATAGAGAATTTGTAGGGATGCACCGAAATGAAAATTCTTGGCCGAAGCCGAACTAAATTAAACACTGGGCCGAATACCGAACACGTTTTTTCCGCATTTTTTCCCCCATGTAGGCCTATTTTGCCTTTTTTTTTTCTTTCACCGTTGCATAAATTAAATAGCCAAAATGTGCTTTTTAAATAAAAAATCAATTACAAAACAACAATTTAAAAATATTTACTTAACACTGACTGAACATTTTTTTAACATTCTAGCAGACATTATAACATCAAAGCAAAATTTAACTTAAAATTAATAAGTTAGTAAAATAGCCTAATATTTTTTGGCCATTTTTGAGACTTGAATCAGGCATGTATTTTTTACTGTACAAATAAAGGCAGCCTTGCTGAGCAGAAGAGAATTCTTTTAAAACATTAGAATATATTACAGATCACAATTTGAACACTGTGTGAATGTTTACTTTTTTGTTGACAACAGCATGCAGCTTTATAAATGATTCTCATTACGAATTTGGGATGATGTTTGTTGCACGTATCACATTGTCACGTGCCGTTTCACAAAAAAATGCACAAAAATGTTACTGAGCAACTGACGAGTAACATAGTTTCAGCACAGATTTTCCTCGCACTTTGAACCCTGGCGAATACATGCAATTTGTGCGTGCATTGAAAATGTAACATTCTGCAGTTTATTTACTAATCGTTTGAGGCGATTTCAATCATCATACCTAACCACCAGCATTAGCCAGCTCTTCTTCTCATCGGAGACGGGATGCAGCACTAAACAGTCTCTCGCTGTCGGTGCTTCGTGCTTGTAATGATTTCTGCGTCTTTCTCTGATAGTTTTAAATACTTTCACACTGCCGACATGTTTGCTGCATTAGTGTGTGCCTCTATTTGATCGCGTTAGTCATTGTTCGGTACATATTATTCGGCCTTTTCGCTTATTCGGTTGCCGAACATTCGGTGCATCCCTAAATTTATGTGGAAACAGTATTTTTCCTGTTTGACAGTACGTGGATACAGAAAGAAACATTATTCTGTAATTATGCCATATATTTGTGAATATGTACAAAATGACTTTACTTTTAGAAGGTTGTGGACTTTTCAAAGAAAATTCATGTTGGTCAAAATTGAGAAAGTGTACAACAGAAATAACTTGCACTGCTGTGTTTTTTACATCTTGTTTTTGCCAATAAAAAAATATTGAAATATGTGAAATCAGTTTTGTTAGTTTAATTTTAAAAAAAAAAGTTCAATCACTTAACCATAAGCAAACAATATTTTTCTACAGACAATTGTAGAGCAGGGGAGCGCTTTGAAGTTTCAGCTATTTGTGAATAAGTGTAGTTAATAGGTAACAGTTTTGAAAAGCTAAAAAATACATAGGCTTAATTTGTATACTGTGGTATAATTAATTTCTACAGATTATGGTAAATGGCTTTACTGGTATATGGATACATCATAAAACATCATTACTTTTACACTAGACACTTCATAATACAGGCAGGGTAACTTCTCTAGAATTAGCTATTGTTAATCTTCACGTTCAAATCAAAGTAGGGAATGACAAGAATCACATTTTCTTATGATTTCTTTATGAAAATTATAGTCTTTAATACATGACCTGTGTTATAAAGTTATGTTTAAAACTTGTTTGTCTTATATAGTCTGAAGGGTAATAGCCTGTCTAATGATGATACACAGATACTATAATAAGCACAATAGTTTGCAGAGTCTGTTTAGATTACACTTGCTTGGCTTTCAAGTCACAAAAGTGCTTTCACTAGCATGCATTAAAAATGCATGATAGATACTATTTCATGTAATAGAACTCTTATTCAATAGTGTTTTTTGTTTGTTTTTATATAAATTACCAGACTAGCTAACGTTGCAAGTCTTTTTTGGTCCAGTCATTAAAATAAATACCAAACTTAAAATATGAATTTTCGTCATTAATTTATGATTATTTATTTTAAATTTTTGCTTGTGCAGCAGGCCCGGCTCCAGACATGAGATGAAGGGTGGGCCAAGTGATATTCCAGGTGGGCCAGGGCGGGGGGGATTTTTAATTTTTAGCATCATTACTCCATCACATGATCCTTCAGAAATCATTCTAATACTCTGAATTGCTGCTCAAAAAAACATTTATTATTATTATTATTATTATTATTATGTTGAAAACAGCTGAGTATAATTTTTTCAGGTTTATTTGATGAATAGAAAATTCAGAAGAACTGCATTTATCTGAAATAGAAATCTCCTTGCTAAATAAAAATATTAATTTCTATACTTTCTCCCCCTCCCCTGACTCCAAGCTTTTGAATGGTATAATGTATAAAAGCTTGTTATTTCAGATAAATGCTGATTTTTGGATCTTTCTATTCATCAAGGAATCCTGAAAAACTGTTAGAATGATTTCTGAAGGGTCATGTGACACTGAAGACTGGAGTAATGATGCTGAAAATTAGGCTTTGCATCACAGGAATAAATTACATTTTAAAACATATTCAAAGATATATTAAATAGTAACAATATTTCACAATATTACTGTTTTTGCTGTATTTTGGATCAAATAAATGCAGGCTTGGTGAGCAGAAGTTCTTTGAAAAACATTAAAAATCTTACTGTTCAAAAACATTTGGCTGGTAGTGCATAAGTCATTTCCATACCTAAAATACATATTTTACAGTCACTGTTATGCACGTTGTGTGTACATAGAGTGCCTGTGATCTCGAAATAGGAAGTGAAAGTGAACGGCGCCAGCGCTCATTCTAAAGCGATTTCAATGACGCGCATATTGATAGCGGCTCCCTGATGCACGACAATTATATACAATATTAGAATGTTTGCGGGTGTGGGCGGGAGTGTAACACACGCGTTGCAGAAGCGGGTGGTAAGAAAACAAAAAATAAAAATATATGGCGCTTTATTGAATATCGCACCAATTTTGGGATTGGCTGTTATGGGGCCAAGGTGTGCCAAGCTCGTGATTGGGTGGGCCAGGCTGCATCATAAACCTGGTCGACATCATAAGTCTGAAATCAGCTTAGCATGAATAAAAGACTTATGTGTGGTGCCTACTTTCCAAAATAATTTTGGTAACACTTTCTATGAAGCCTGTATTCATAATACATTATAAGGGTATTCTTAAGGCATT